AATATTGTCAACTTATGCAGATAGATTTTTTTTTTTATCTTCACAGCAGATATATAGGGTTTGGGTACTTAATTTAGAAATAGTTTCATAGTTCGCCAGACATTTGAGATACAATTGGGAAATTCCGAATAGAGAAAGGAGTACTATATTCCTTACGTAGGGAACGATCGCTACAGAAATAATGAAATAATGGCAAATGCAAATTGTTGAGAATTTGTAGTTTCCTGCACCAATATTGTTATTTCTCTCTCTTTTCTAAGGTAGTTTTCCTATTGAAGAATGGAGTTTTTGACCAAATTGCTACTTACTTATGAATAATATGAGAAAGAATTTTATAAATGAAATAAATAGACAGAAAAAGTTTTGAATCATTGAAATTAAAAATATGAAAATAATATGATCCAACTAAAACTTATATAGAAAGCACTGTGTATCTTTCATGATTTTTCTCTCATTGTTGAGTAAAATACTAGTAAATTTCTTTTCCATATTTTTATACTATTGCCTATAGGTTTTGGGCTTTATTATTTTTTACATTTTTATTTTTATCTCATGTATATGTGTTTTTCCTGCATTATGTAAGTCTACCTGTGCATGCAATGCCTGAATAGGTGTGGAGGTCAGAAGAGAGTTGGATCCCCTGGAACTGGAGTTACAGCTGGTTCTTAGCTGTCCTGTAGGTTCTGGGAACAGAACTCAGGTCCATTGCAGGAGCAGCCAGTGCTACTAACTGCCAAGTCATATTTCCAGTCTCCCCATAAATATTTTTAAATCAGAATTATGCTACACTTAAATATACTTTACTGAGCTCATGCCACATATTAATTGTGATTGTGACAGTTGTTTGATTTTTGTTTTGTCAAAATATAAAACCATTGTTTCAAAACACTACTATTTGGGTAGTGCTGTGGTGTTTTCTGGCTCAGTGTAGAGATGAGTAATTGATTAAAAATTAAGAGTTTATTCCGTGTAGTATCTTTGTTCATTCAAAACTTAGTATTAACTTCTTTTTAAATTGTGAGTTGAAGAACTCTGTAATAAAATTTATGATGGAAATCAAGGCAATTTGGACTTTTTCCAGATAGTTGATTAATTAGGTAGTTCACAGTTTTATGTCAAAATATTTCCATAAGAATGTGGACTCATTGAATTTAAATAAACTGATTGATACCATAACTGAAATTATGATAATCAGAAATTGCAGAGTACTGCTAGGAGTTGTAGCACCTGCCTTTAATCCCAGGAATTGTGAGGCACGTAGATCTCTGTGAGTTCAAGGTCAGCCTGGTCTATATAGCAAGTTACAGGACGACTAGGGTGACATGGCTAGTGAAATCCTGGCTCAAAACAAAACAACAAAACAAATATAACAGAAATTACAAAGTAAAACTGATTGGTTTTTGTTTAGGAATGTATGTGGCAGGATTGAAGAAATCTAATTGTTTATTTGAACAGGAGTTTGGAGAACGTTTACTCTATCTTGGAGAGCTAAATGTTCTGGGTAAACTGGTTAAAATCACAAGCAAACATTCCAACTTACTTCAGGTAATGTCATTTTTCTGCCTTGGGAAGACCTTTCTTTTGTCACTCTACAAATCTTGTTAGACTACCAGAATGTTGGTATTTAATTGATGTAGTGTCCCTATCATGTCTAGAATGCATTATTAAAAGCAGGTGTCTTATCCTTCTGGCTCCTAAACACTTTGCCTCCTCTTCTGCTGTCTAACCTAAGACTTAGGTGCAGAGGCTTCATTGTAGTTGTATCTATCACCTGGGATGAGGACCCCACAGTCACTTATTCTCTGTATTTTGACCATCTGTGGAACTTTGTAACAGTCTCCATCTGTTGTAAAATGAAACTTCTTTGATGAGTGGTGAGAGGCACATGTATCTGTAAAATTAAGGAAATTTATTTAGAATACAGTAAGAGATGACATTGGTCTTAGAAAGTGACAGAAATAGATTTTTCTCCAGTTTCCATGACTTCTCCAAGGATGTGTACATGGCTATGTTTATAGCACCAACAATGAAATCCCTCCTATTAAACAGTCCTATTAGATAGCTGTTAATTAATCCCAACATAAAAGTGCCACTACTATACCAAGAGAATTAATTTGCTGGTCATTGTTGTGGGCCTTAGGTGTTATAGCTGGATAGGACCACTGATTGGTTTTCTCCCTTGTCAGCTTGCATAATATCTTCTGACACTATGCCAGCTATTCTTCAGGGAGGAGACATCCAAGTCAGTTCCAACTCAATTGCTCCAAGTTCTTTGAACTATGTGTTAATTTCAGCAATAGGGTCGTACCTTCATGTTCTGGGAAACAGCAAAATGCTACAGCAATAGTTTGTCTTATTTTGGGAGTCTCTTGAATTACCTTGCCAACAGCTTGAGGGGAGAGTTCCTTGGATGGCACTGTGATTGTTGTTATTTAGCCCTCAGCTATACACAAGCATTCGTGTGTGTGGGGTGTGTGTGTGTGTGATGTGTGTGTGTGTGGTGTGTGTGGTGTGTGTGTGGTGTGTGTGGTGTGGTGTGTGTGTGTGAATTTTCAGCAGGGTTATTAAATAAATATACTTCCCTTTGACTTATCACACCACCTAAGAAATGCTTGTCTTTCTTTCCTCTTCCCCACTGTATAGCTCTTTCTTTGACTCTCCCCAATGGCATCTTTCTATTTCCCTGACTCCTGCAGTTGCATCCATATATATAATCACATGTAAAGATTTGAAGCTAGTGTCCACACATGAAAGAGAACATGCATCACTTGTTTTTCTGTGTCTGTGTTACGTCACTTTATATAACAGCCTTTAGTTCCATCTATTTTCCTGCAAATTTCAAGATTTCATTTTCCATTCCTGCTGAATAGAATTCCATGTGAAAATATACTACATTTTCATCATCTATTCATCAGTTGAGAGACATTTATATTGTTTCCATTTCCTTGAAATTGTGAAAAGAGCAGCAATAAATACAGCTGAGCAAATATCTCTGTAGTAGGATATCAAATCCTTCAACTACAAGGATTGGTATAGCTGGATCATATAGTCTATCTATTTCTAGTTTGTAAAGAAGTCTCCACATTGACTTCCATAGTGTCTACATCAGGTTGTAATTTGTATTTCCATAATTTACTAAGGACATTAGACACTTTTAAAAGTATTTCTCAGACATTTCTATTACTTCTTTTGAGAGCTCTCTGTTCAAATCTGTAGTTCATTTTTTAATTGGGTCGTATTTTTTCTGATTCTTTTGAGTTACATTTCAATTCTGGAAATTAATCCTCTATCAATGTATATCTGGCAAACATTATTTCGCACTCCTCTTCATTAGCTTGGTTATTTCCTTTACCGTACAGAATCTTTTAAGTTTAATGAAGTCTCATTTGTCAATTGTTGGCCTTAATTCCAAAATGGATGAAGCTGAAAATAGAGTCCTTTGTGTACATGTAGCTTGTAGTGTACTGTCTAATTTTCCATCTGAGTGTTTCAGTGTTTCAGATTTCACATTGAGGTCTTTGATCCAGTTTTATTGAATTTGATGCTCACCAAAAGCTGTTCTATGGCTGTGAAAATTTGATTGTCTGTTTGAAACAGTGTAGAAAGGGAGTCTCAAAGACAGATGATCTGGGCTACCTTGGTCTCTGGGCGTGCTTGTGAGGGATTTTCTTAGTTAATTTGAGTGGGAAGACACTCCCTGAATGTGGGCAGCACCATTGTGTGGGATATCACTTAGCTGGATGAAAAGGAGAGAGCAAGCTGAGCACCACCGTGCATACCTCATTTTCTGGCTTTGCCCCTGACTTGTCTGTGCTTTGATCAATTCTCTCAAGTTTATGCTACTGTGACTTCCCACCAGGATGGACTGCAACTTGGCACTGTGAGCTAAAATAAACCCTC